GAGAGCACAGGTGCAGGAGAGAGAGCACAGGTGCAGGAGAGAGAGCACAGGTGCAGGAGAGAGAGCACAGGTGCAGGAGAGAGCACAGGTGCAGGAGACAGAGCACAGGTGCAGGAGACAGAGCACAGGTGCAGGAGACAGAGCACAGGTGCAGGAGAGCACTGTTGCACAGGTGCAGGAGGGAGCACAGGTGCAGGGGAGAGCAGAGCCCCTTAGAGTGGCAGTGTCAGTGTGTGCTAACTAGGGAACAGGGTTGGGATGAACTGCGTAGAACCTCTGTGCCTTGCAATCTCCTTGGAGTCTCCACTAACTTCATTTTTTTTTCTTGGTTGGTTCTTGTTCTAAGTCTTTACTATGGAAAATTTTCAAATATGGTCATAACAGTATCAACGAGTGGCCAATTATGATTCTTACTCCCTGGCTACTTGCTAATAGTGGTAGCCACTGACATCATTGCTGAGACTTATTTCATTAACGACTGCAAAAGTGGTTTTCCGTAATTACGTCCTCCACTTTTCCTACTAGTGTTCAATCCACTGGTTCTCCTAAGTTTAGTATGTGTGTGTGTGTGATTATGTGCTTGTTTATTTTGTTTTGTTGAGATAGGGTCTCATTATGTCGTTCAGGTTGGCCTGGAACTCGATATGTAGACAAGGCTAGCCTTAAACTCATATTTGCCGGCCTCTGCTTCCTGAATGCTGAGATTAAAGGTGCATGCCATCACATCTAGCTTAATGTACAGTTTTATTGAAGTACTACATGTCTATAGTGTAAAAAGTGAAATGTAGCTGGGCAATGGTGGCAAAAGCCTTTAATCCCAGCACTCGGGAGACAGAGGCAGGCAGATCTCTGAGTTTGAGGCCAGCCTGGTTTACAGAGTGAGATCCAGGACAGCCAAGGCTGTCTCGGGGTACAAAAGTGAAATGTAAACTGGGCTGTAGCTAAGCAGCACAGCATTTGCTGGTCATGCATCAAGGCTTTCTTTGATCCCAATTATGAGCAGGAAAGGGGGAAAGGAAGCAGCAAGATGGCTCATCAGTTAAAGGTGCTTGCTGCCAAGTCTGACAACCTAAAGTTGATCTCCAGGACTCATGTGAGGTAGAGAGAACCAATTTCTGTAAGTTGTCCTCCCCATCTGTAAGCATATGTGTGTCCCTGCCTCCCTCTTCTGTATGTGTGTGGGCCTGCGTGTGTCAGGGAAGCAGTGTGGGAATTGGCAGAGTAAGCAAGTTAGTCTTAAATTGTTGGCGGCAAGGCCAGGTGTGCTAGTGTACACCTTTAACCCAGTACTGCGGAGGCTGAAGCAGGATTGTGGGTTTGAGGCCAGCCTGGGCTACACAGTAAGACCCTGTCAAGATGGGAGGGAGGAGGAAATGCCACGCTGGAGAAGAAGGCAAGAGGTTAGGCTTAAACAAGCCAGATGTGCCGGGAACCCAGTGGCCTCCTCTCCCGCTTTAGGTTCCTGGGATCCGCACATCCGGATCTTTTTTCTTCTCTTTTGTTCTCCCTTCCCCTCTCCCCTTCTTGTGTTTTCAGAGAGAGTAAGATCAAGCTGACCCGTGGAACTTGTGATTCTCCTGCTTCATCTTCCCCACCCCTGGAGTTGTTGGCACATGCCACTGTGCTCAGTCACATTTTTACAGCACTTCTGCCAAATGCCCATTTCTTAGATTCCTCTCCTCCGAGACCGGCAGCAAGACAAAGAGCCTTTTTACTGCTGTCTCCTCCCCTTCATGGAACACAGCCAGGCGCTACTTCCCTCTTTATTTCATGGGTCATTCGCTTTGCAGACGGCAAGGAATACTTAATGTAAGGCCACTTCAAAGGCTCCTGGATGCCAGAACAGTGACACAGGCATGGGTCCTGGTCTGCATCCACTGCCTTCCTTTTTGGATGTAGCCAGATAATTTTAATTTCACCCTTTGCCTCAGCCCCTGCCTGATCAGGGCACACAGACCCATCTGTCTACTATATGCTTCTGACAGGTTTTAAACCCATTTGGGTTTTGTTTTTATTTTCTTGAGATGGGGTCCAGGCTGGCCTTGAACTTGTTATGTAGCTGAGGTTGGTCATGAATTCCTGATATTCCTGGAGTACAGGCATGTAGGTGGACTTTTCTGTCCCACCATCTAGTTCTCAAATAACCACACAGAGACTTATTTATTTTAAATGCTCGGCTGTTAGCTTAGATTTGTTTTTGACTAGCTCTTATAACTAAAATCAACCCATTTCTATTCACCTATGTGCACCCCCAAGGCTCGTTTACCTTGTTTATATACTTTTCATATTGCTTTTTCCTAGTCTGGCTGGCGAGTTCTGAAATTGCTCCTTCTTCTTCCCAGCATTCTCTTAGTCCGATTCTCCCACCTA